GAATTATTACTTGATATAAGTGAAATTAGTTATTTACAATATTATGTAAAAATATTAAATTATTATTAATTTCAATATTATGTTATAATTATTTTTCTACTTTTCAGAATTTTTTAAATTTAATAAATAATTTCTTTATTTTAACTATTGAAAATCTAGTTATGTTAAATAGTTTGTTATTTAAAATATTTAGTTATTTAAATACTTAAATAATATGTAAAATATTTAAATTTTAAAATATTAATTATTTATTGAATTTAATGAACCATAAAATCATAATTTATACTATTATTACATAATTTTATTATTAATTTTGTAATATATTAAATTATTATTAATTTCAATGTTATGTTATAATTATTTAAAATCTAGTTATTATAAGTATTTAGTTATTTAAATATTTAAATAATCTATAAAATATTTAAATTTTTTTTGTTAGGTGAATTTTATTTATTTAAAGCTATTACATATTATTGAATATTTGAAAAACATTTAAATTGATTATCTGGAAAAACATAATTTAAATTGTTAGTACATAATTTCGTGATATATGTTGTAAAAATATAAAATTATTTTTTGTGTTTTTAATAAATATTTTAAAGTTATTATATAATTTTGTTAGAATATTTAAATAAGTCTTAAAGTTTTTAAGTCTCTAAGATGATGCATTTGAAAGCTGTGCATTGATAAAGATTTGGTAAAGAATCTGGGTCCTTGGCTGTAGGTGGACCTTTTATAAAAATAAATAAATAAATAAATAATCTGGGTAGATCCTTATGTCCTATGGCATCCACATTTCTGTATGGTAAAGATTACCAGAGAAGACTTTAGGGGGGTTTGCTGTTGTTGATATGGCAATTAATTTTTTTTCGGTCATTTACTAGAACACCCTTTATAGTTTCATAGATTTACTTAAACCTATCCTATAGTATGCATTTTACTAAAACACCCCTTATAGTTTGCAACCTATTTACTGACCTTTCGTTAAGAACTATTTGTTTTTCCATATGAAAATAGCAACATAATCACCTAAATTAAGTAGAAAATGTTTAAGGGCATGGAGCAATGGTTGTTCATTTCCCTAAACTGAGTGGAAAATGCTCAAGGGTATGGATCCATGGTTGTTTATTCCAAAAGTACCCCTAACACTTTTCTATAGAAAACAAAATTGACCAATTAGAGAAAAATAAAGCGGTTTTCTATGTTTTATTAGCGGCAAAATTGGCATTTTTTGTTCTTAGTTCCTTTTGATTAAATTTATTTGAATGGATATTAGTGTTAAAACTGTCATTTTCCACTTCGATGTTTTAGTAAAGCACAAACTATAAAGCAGATTTTAGTAAATTTATGAAACTATAGGGGGTGTTTTAGTAAATGACCATTTTTTTATCAAAGAAGGGAACCACTATAAAACAAGGATACATCTGTTGACATGAAAAAATATTCAAAAGAATTGGAGGGGATGTTCAAAAATCGTTTAGATTGACATGGAAATTGCTTTTAGTTTTAAAATAAAATGGTTTATATTGACAAACAAAATCAATATGCAAGGTGCCACCAACTAAGTGGTTGGTAAGGTCTTTATTGGTTGCAGCGGAGACTTGGGATCAAATCCCTCCTGTACCTCGGTTGGGGGAAGAAGG